TAGAGTAGTTTAAAGTCGAGTGTACAGTAGATTAGAGTTGCATAGAGTACAGTGTACAGTAGATTAGAGTAGAATGGAGTAGAGTGTATTGTAGATTAGAGTAGAATGGAGTAGAGCAGAGTAGAGTAGTTTAAAGTAGAGTGTACGGTAGACTAGAGTAGAATAGAGTAGAGTGTATAGTAGATTAGAGCAGAGTGTAGAGTGGATTGGAGTTGAGTGTAGAGTAGATTAGAGTTGAGTAGAGTGCACAGTAGTGTGTAGAGTTGAGTAGAGTGTACAGTAGTGTAGAATAGATTAGAGAAGAGAGTAGTGTAGCAGAGGCAAATTGATGATTTTATCTGTTATGACCATGACGATGTAATATTCTATATTAATATAAATTATTAACCTGCAAGGTCTTTATTGTAATTAATCAGAAGATTCTAGGATTTAATTCAGAAGATCTATGTTCTTTGCTTTTTCAGTGATCAACCACACTTCGTGTTACTTCAAGAAAAGAGTCAGGTTTATAATTGTAAGAATTTATTTTAGAAACAATTAAAACACGACAAGTGAACTAAGCATTTACTGTGAATGGATGGAGCTAAAGGTGATGTAGGAACCTATGTGTAAATGCGGTGTTGGTCAGAACTTCCGAATCTCGGAAAGCAGCGTCTCCGGATGAAAAGGAATTTGGTTTGCTCTAAACTAGGATGTTATCTTCAGAAGCACATTCAGACGCAATCTCTCTATGTTCTACCTCACCCTTTTGATGACCCTCATCACGAATCCGGAGGTCAGAGAGGTCGGATGACCTGGGGGCACCCAGGTCGGGTAGATTGACCGCAAGCACCAACTTCTCCAGTCCAAAAGATGTCACCAGGCAGCACAGGTTGGAATCAGCCTGCATCTCAGGAATAACTCTTAAGGAGTTGAACAATGTCAGCTTTGTTCTGCAGGAACTGTTTGCTGTCTCAGCTTTGTTGGTGCAAAAAGGTTTTGACGACGTGTCAAAATCCTTGATTGTTAAAGAGATATGCTAAAGATGGCCGGTCTGAAGCTTTCTCTAGAACTGTCCAGTCTCTCAGCATGTTTTAGTTATAAAGTTTAGTTGTTATGGTTTGGACAGCCAATCAGAGGAAGACAAGTTTGGAGATATTACCAAGGCAACTCAGAAACGCACCCTCTTTGATATGGAGGCTCTGATCTGGGTAAAAGGTTAGCCATGTGTAATGGATTTAACTTAGTACTTGTTGTGTGGAGCACGTGTGAGGACCTTGTCGTCAAAACATGGTGAACACATTGCAGGTTCTATTAGACAAACATAGCATCCATTCAGTGAGCACAGATTAATGAAGCATTTCATTATACTATAATTATTATCAGTAGTAATAAACAAATGTTTATTTAATGATTAGCTAGATTATACGTCATAGAAGTAGTTTATAATCATTCTTGACTTTAGCAATTAATTCGAGCCGGAGTTCTTCTTCTGGAGGCAGACAGATGGGACCTTGGGAAGAAAGTTATTGTTTATCTTTCAGATTTGCAGAGTCTGAATCCCAGCTGGTGTGAAGCCTGCTTATTAAAGGGAACACATGCAATGTTGTGCCTCCTTTCTGACCAGATGTTGAATAGATGGTGAAAGGTGAGACTGTACCCAAATTGACCATTGCTGGACGCTAGAGTAGAGTAGAGTAGAGTAGAGTAGAGCAATAGGAGCAATAAAGGCGCTAAGAGCTGCTAACCAATTAGCTGTCATGGCTTCAGAAGGGACTCGTGTCTCACGAAGGTCCTAAAATCAGTAAATGTCAAACCCTTCCAAGAAAAATCCTCGTGTGTCTGTGAGCAAAGTCACGGAGCTGAGGGTGAACACACTTGCAGATGAATGTCAGGCCCGTGTGGCAAAACGTTGTTTCTCTCTGTTAACCACCACAAATGGCTGCTGCCCTCAGTGTTGATGACACTGGCATCATGCATTAATGAGGCAAAAGCTTCTGTAAAAGACCCGAGTCGTTCGGGGAGCAGCAACGAGACGGCATGGCGCAGGTACACCGCAAATGAACCACAGAGAGGCATCGAGGCGCAGCAGGTGGAGAATTACAGCCTCGTTCCCACTTTCAACATCATTACCATATTCATCGCTCGCCTCGCAGGGCAGGTGGGCCGCTTTGGGTCCAGTCAAAATCTGACTAGTTCATATTCAGAAGAGATAAATTCAAAACCACTCTGTTGTTTCCCCCTCTTTTGATTTGGGCAGTAAGTATTATTCTAGGCAGACGAGTTTTAGTCTTCAGGTGTGTGCCCTGGTGTGGAGCTGCAGCACAGCCAAGATGCATCTGGGGGGTGTTAGACACCAGTGACAGAATCATCGCTCAGGGTTCTGCTCGCTGGACTGAAGTTTAACTCCCAAACAAACGGGGGTTAACACCAGCGGCTCTTCTCTGGAATCCTTAGCTAAACAGAACACTGCAGCTCTGTGCTCTGGTTTTATCCTCAGAGGTTTGCAATTTAGAGACTTTGTTTTTTGGAGGTTTTCTCTGCAGAACAAAGCAATCAACCTGAGAGAAGCGTCTTTCGTTACAGTAACGAACAAAGAAAACAAAAGAAGTGCATTATGTTTTATTTGATTTTAATCAAATCAAAGCCAATTCAACAATCCTCTTTATTCATCTTCTCCTCTGGGTGAATAAATGGTGTTAATTAGTTTAACAAAAAGCCTAATATTGGGAGGTGTGTGATACTCTTAAGTGAGACCATTCAGGGTGAAGGAATGAGATCAGATTTCAAATGTGTTAATAATCTGATTCAAACTCCCTCCAGCAGGAGGAAGTAAATCTGCATGGTTTAAATATCAGGGGAGGACTAACAAAGATCTAATTAAGATTTTTCTGGTTTAAAACACCTCCCAAAGAAAGGGTTTGTGGAAGTTGACATGATTTCTTGTGCTTGGAGCCACATTTCATCTGATATTACTTCTAAATTTCTTTCCCAGCACTGGTCTTATATAGATAAGTACGGGCTTGAGAAATAAATCCAATGTAGACAAAACTCAGGAGGAAGAGCAAGGGAAAATAAACTGATTTATTGAGGCTAAAAGCAAAGTAAATTTGTCGCTGAAGCAAACGTTTCAGAGCCGACATCAGAATGCGTGTTAGGTTGAGACAAAAGCTAAAAACAAACCAGGACCGACAGCACTGTAAGCTGACTGTGACAGGGTGGAACGAGCACCAACTAGGGGTTATGTAAAACCCCGAGAGGAAAGGAACAGAAACAAGGCAGCATAGAAGGATCGCGTGTGAGGACGGACATAAATTCAAATAAAAGCAAAGCAAGAATACAGAAGGTTAAACATGAAGAGGGTTAACAAATCCCAGTAATGTCTCCTTCCTAATTAATTGTAAATGGTAAATGGCCTGTATTTGATATAGCGCCTTCTAGACTCCTGGAACCCCCCAAGGCGCTTTACAACACAATCAGTCATTCACCCATTCACACACACATTCACACACTGGTGGGGATGAGCTACGATGTAGCCACAGCTGCCCTGGGGCGCACTGACAGAGGTGAGGCTGCCGAGCACTGGCGCCACCGGGCCCTCCGACCACCACCAGCAGGCAACGTGGGTTAAGTGTCTTGCCCAAGGACACAACGACAGCGACAGACTGAGCGGGGCTCGAACCTGCAACCTTCCGATTACGGGGCGAGCACTTAACTCCTGTGCCACCATCGCCAATTCTAACTTATCAGCAGGTGGATTTAAGTTCAGAACAATCGTTGGATTTAAGGAATTAGCAGAAGCATCAAACTGGAAATCAGCATCATCTTTTCCTTGGTCATGAGGGCTTCTCACCTTAAAGGTGTAGTCTGTAGCGTAGCGTCGTCAAGGAGAGGAGAAGAATGGCCAGGCCCCTCCCCTTCTGGAAAGAGTGAAAAGCCACGCCTCACAAATGGAGCGGTAGCGCCAACGAATGGTTGCTTGATTGACTGATTGATGTTCTGTGATTCTGGTTTAGACCAGCAGGTCTGAATATTTAGTGTTTTTTAAGCTGTGGATGAAAAGCAAACCGGAGCTGCAACTTGAAACTAATTTGAAGAACGGCTCCACGGCTGCACACAGCCTTTAGGAATGTGAGCTGATGTTGGCGTAAAACTGGTCTTTTAACAGCTCAAATGCAAACATTTCAAACAGCACAGCCCATGAAAAGGTTTGCTTTACAGGCTTGAACCCGATTACTTTCAAAAACGGATTATTTTGTGTTTATTAATTATCCGAAGCTGCTGCGACTTCAGAGAAATTAAAACTGAGCCCAATGGGGAAAACTATGGCGGTAGAATAAATGAGATGTTTTAAGGATATTTCGGATGAACTCCCACTCCATAACTTAGTTTTCAAAGTAATGAAAGGCCTTTTATAGTTTCCTTCAAGTCTTTGGGTTGGAATTTGTTATTATTTGAGTGCTGAAATCTTTTCTCTAGAGAGGAGTTTTAGTTTTCAGAGGCGGGTTTAAAGGCTTTTATTCTGAAACATGTAAAAACACCACAGAGCTTGTTGTTTTTATTTTTCTAGATTCGTATTAGTGTTTATTTTCCTTTTACTGAGTCTATTTGCTCTCCGAGTAAAAGCGATGCCGCCTCCTAACAGCTGTGGAGCGCCGTGGCTCCGTGCCCTGGTCGGCCTCCAGATTGCGGCGTGATGGCTGCCTGAATGGAAGTTGATTGACTGACTAGCTGGACCTCCTGAGAGGCCTCTGAGTAAAGGCTCTGACTGACAGGTCAATCATCCACCCAGACCCCCTGCTGTGGTTATCAATTATCAACCTGGTGTGATGAAAAACCGTTCCCTCGGTCCTGATGTGACACTTCCTGACCTTTACGGACTCCTCGGCGGCTGTCATGTTTCGTCTCCATAACCTTCTAATACTGGAGCCCCTTGCAGTGACACCGAGTTATCTTTAAGGAGCCATTATGAGCTGATGATTGATAGTTTCATTAAATAATGTGTCTTTTCTTGGCTTTAGCTCATAGTGGGGATCATTCAGGCTGCCGAGCTGCCTGCGATGGACATGGGAGGCACATCCGACCCCTACGTGAAGGTCTACCTTCTGCCTGACAAGAAGAAGAAGTTTGAGACCAAGGTTCACAGGAAGACCCTCAACCCCGTCTTCAACGAGCAGTTCACCTTCAAGGTAGGCCTCACGCTGACGGTGCAGCTCAGTCACATTTGCACAGTTTTGTATCTGGAAATCTTCTCTTGACAGTCTGATTTGCATGCAGCCTAGAAATCTGGGAAGGTGTGGAGACAGCAAGCAGCTGGCGCATTAACTAGCTCCTGACAGAATATCACACACACACACACACACACACACACACACACACACACACACACACACACACACACACACACACACACACACACACACACACACACACACACACACACACACACACACACACACACACACACACACACAGAGAGAGTCAGGCTCAGATTAACACAAGCAGATGCACAGCTACACCTCGGCTTCTCCTCAGCTTTAATGGATGCATGACTGTTGCTCAGTAGCGGGGAAAGTTTTGTTATTCACCCGGCGCCGGCGAGCGCAGGTGTTTGATGTACATAATCTGATGTGATATCCGTCTCGCTTAATGATTTATGGTCTGATTTTCTTAAACGCTTAAAAAAAACAGGCAGGAGTGATGTTTCTGAGGCGCCGTCGAGGACAAAGCAGTTTTATCTCATTTCCACTCGTTTTGAGCAAAGCTTTTCTCTTTATTGTGTTTTTGTTGTGAGATGGTGGCTAAACAGGGAAGCATGTTTGTGAAAGAAGAAGCAGGGGTGACTGATATGAAAACCAAATCACATGAAAGACTACACAAATACTCTAAAAACCAAGCTTTTACATCAAAATAATTGCAAAACTTAAGAAATTGAGAGCTGTTTTCAATCAGACCAACATAATCAAATGTACATTTCATTATAAAGTGTATTACAGTCACAGACGGCATCACATTTCACAAGTAACTGGTTTATATATCTGTTTCTTCTTGTTTTGTTTTATTTATTTACATTTCTAACAGTAAATCTAACAGTAAGACATCCACTAACGTGTGAAAGATTGTTTTTTCTTCTTCAAATTTAGCTGAGCAGTGAAATTAAGCAAAGAAACTCAGAAGAGTACCATCTTTGATTATTCATGTCATGTACTGGCCACATTATTGGATACACATATCCAACTGTACGTTGACATAAATGACTAATCAGCCAATCACACGGTGACAACTTAATGCCTTTAGGCATGTAGACATGGTCAAGACGATCCGCTGCAGTCCAAACCGAGCTTTAGAACGGGGAAGAAAGGCAATTTAAGTGACTTTGAACATGACGTGGTTGTTGGTGCCAGACAGGCTGGTCTGAGTATCTCAGAAACTGCTGATCTGCTAGGATTGTCACACACAACCATCTCTAGGGTTTACAGAGAATGGTCCGAAAAAGGAAAACATCCAGTGAGCGGCAGTTCTGTGAGCGAAAATGCCTCGTTGATGCCAGAGGTCAGATGAGAATGGCCAGAATGGTTCGAGCTGATAGAAAGGCAACAGTAACTCACATAACCACTCGTTACAACCAAGATATGCAGAAGAACATCTCTGGATGCACAACACATGGAACCTTGAGGCAGATGGGCTACAGCAGCCGAAGACCTCACCGGGTGCCACTCCTGTCAGTAAGAACAGGAAAGTGAGGCTAAAATTCTTGGTCTGATGTCTCGATATCTGCTGCAACACTCAGATGCATCTGAATTGTTGTTGTTGTTCTGACCCTACCATGGTAGCATGGATCCATCCTGCCTTGTATCAACGCTTCAGGCTGCTGGTGGTGGTGTAATGGTGTGGGGGACATTTTCTTAGCACACTTTGGCCCCGTTAGTACTAATTGATCAATGTTGCATCACCACAGCCCACCTGAGTATTGTTGTTGACCATGTCCATCCCTTTATAACCACAGTGTACCCTTCTTCTGATGGAATACTTCTATCAGGATAATGCACCATGTCATAATGCTCGATTCGTCTCAGACTGGTTTCTTAAACATGACTGACTTTTGTTCCGGCTCTTGGAGAGTACAGACGCTTTTTTTTCTCCTCTCCCTCCCTATCTTATCCCAAGGCTCTTTGTCCTGTCTTTGTGTGCACGGCGCTTTCTGTGTTTTTTTCTGGAAACTGGAAATTATTAAACATGGATCTGGTCAGTTGATGTCTCTCAACGCAATTGACAACATTTTTTTCAACGATGAGAACGGGAGAAGGGGCTCCCGGATGCTCCTCTGGGACAGAGCCAGCTGGGTATATCATGGACTCCTGGAAACAGCGGAACCTGATATGCCTCTCTCAACTGTCTGTAGAGGATTCTGAAGATGTCTGGATATTTGTCGTTTTGGTGTCGGGATTCCTGCTGTTTGGCCTGAGCGGTAACCTGGCATACCGGAAAATTAACGAGCTGTCGAGGAATATTGGCTCAATCCCGGAGCTCAGGGATGGAATGCATCGTGCTGTGAATTCACAAACTCATATAATTGTCGAGATGAGTCGTGAGCTTGGAACTTTGGCTGAGATTCAGGCTCTGGCACAGAAGGTGGATTCGATCAAGGAGAGAGTGGACGGATCAGCACGGATCGGTATAGATTGATAATGCCATTATTGGACCTGGATGGGTTGAAGACCAACAGAACACTAAGACAGAGAGGAAATTATCTCTGTCTGTACCCAAAACAATCCTTATCTGAATCTGGTGCCCTTGAAGCCTGTGAGTCTGAAGTGAAAACTCCCCCCTCAGAAGAAATGTGGAATGCTGCTGTCGCTACGGAAACTCTTTCTCCTTATCCCAGCCTGGGCGGGACTGTGACCGGTGAAGGCCGTGGAACCGTATCTAGGACTCAATATGCTCTCTAACCCATTATCTCCCTCCCCGTCCAAACGGAGGTGATTAGCGCTGCTCCATGCAGCTGCACGCACTGAAGTGAGGAGAGTCCCAACCCTACCTCCCCACCTAGTGGAGACTGATGTTGTGTATCGTCTGAAGTTTGTGTGCGTGTCTGTCTGAGGTGTTTTTTGCATAGCAAAGCTACCCTCTCTGTGGTGGGTAACTCTGAAGTGCCTTTTTTTCCCCTCTCCCCGACTCTATCCTCATATAAACCCTCTGGATCTATAACGGTAGTGCGACTCGCGTTGCGAATGACCACAGTCACCAATTCTTGTCATGTGTCTTGCCCATGTATGTCTGATCTCAGAATTGTGTGTACTGAAACTCTAATTTCCCTCTGGGATTAATAAAGTATTTTTCAATTTGAATTGAATTGAAATGGCCCCCACAGTCACCAGATCTCAATCAAATAGAGCATCTATGGGATGTGGTGGAACGGGAGTTTTGCATCGTGGATGTGCCGCCGACAGATCTGCAGCTACTGCTGATGCCATCATGTCAATATGGACCAAAATCTTCCAGTACCTTGTTGAATCTTTGCCACGAAGGGTTAAGGCAGTTCTGAAGGCAAAACCGGGTCCAACCCGGTACTAGCACGGCGTACCCAATAAAGTGGCCAGTGAGTGCAGATTCTTACTAAATTAGAATTTAAAAAAAAGAGCCAAAAAGCCTTCATCACAAACGGAAATCTCCTGAACCAGCAGGTGTTTCTGCACAAATCTAGTGCAAAAATAATCCTCTCAAACATAAAGAGGAACCTCCATCATCCTCTCCAGGATTTAAAAACAGACCCTGAGAGGTGGTAATGTCGGAACATCACAGCTGTTGTGATGATTTCAGACTGTAGATTTAGCCTTTTGCACGTGTATAAAAATAGTCCTGGCAGCTCAACGTAACTGAATATAAAATCTGTCAAAATTCCAGACATTGGTTGTTTTAGATGAGTCTCCTAGCAGAACAAATAGAAAAGTTAAGGAATGTACTGAACCTATAAAGTAACAATCTTATTTTTAATGCCTCCTTTTGTACTGGAGCCTCCTTAAAACTACACTGTTTCCTTCTCAGGTGCCCTACGTAGAGCTTGGGGGGAAGACTCTCGTCATGACGGTGTACGACTTTGACCGTTTCTCCAAACACGACGCCATTGGTGACATCAAGGTGCCCATGAACAAGGTGGACTTCAGCCACATAACAGAGGAGTGGAGGGATCTACAGAGTGCCGAGAAGGAGGAGGTAAGACTCTTTGTTCCCTTCAGGAAAACATACGTGCTGCAACCTAGATTCCATTATTCAGTCACTCATGCTAACACTCAGGTCTGATCTTGTAGCTGTTTTACCGCATAAGTGATATTAGGGTCATTACTTTGCTGCAGCTTGTAGCGCAAACACAGCTGATGTAATCCTTCTCTCCTGGAAATGCCACCTAATCACATGTCCACACTTCCTGTTCAATTAATAGGAGTGTGAGTTTCCAGCCACCAGCTCAGGAGATTCAATTTTCATGGTAAATGTCATGGCGTATAGCACATGTTGCAACCTTATTTCAGCATTACGGTGAGTTAGTTTGAAGGTTAATTATAATGCTGCAGAATGGTTGGTGGTGTGTTTTTTAGCTTTTGGGCACAACGGCAATTATTTATAACGTGTAAAGACCTTTGAGCTTTGGTTTCTTCAGACAAAGAGGCAGACTTTGAGGATCCCTGAGCATGCTTTAGTGTTTTCATGTTTAATGAGGTCAGCACCTAAGTCCAGCGTTCTCACTCTGGCTGTGAGAAAGTGAATAACTTGAGTTGGAGTTACACTAAAACAGCATTTCTGGGTTGCTTAAGACACGTGGCGCTGTTGCAACCAAACTGTACTAAAGCTGCATTTCTTTTTAGCTATTTTTGTTATTTTGAGAGAGCATGTTCAAGACTCAAGAAGCCCAAATTCAATGAAACTGAGATGCCTCTCAGTTGTTTTAAGGCATTTTGGAGACCTTCTGGTGACGGCGGCTCTTGATTTGGCAAAATTGCAACAGGGTTCGTGCTGAGTAGCTATGCTTTCCTTCTTTTTTAAACACAGAAACAGTTTTGTTTACCTGTTTGTAGCTACGGTTTCGCCGACAGCTACCGGCTTCTTCAGGCTGACGCTGATGGTGGCGCGTCACTTCCTTCTCCGTTTATCTGCGGGCAGCAGAGGACGTTGTCGCCCTCTACTGCCCGCTCTCCCCTCTCCGACGATGCAGTCCCATGCGTGGTCCAGCGTGTAAACTCCGTCGTCCCTGTTCATGGTCCCACATCCACGTCTCCTTATCTCTATTGCTTCCTTGATCCATCTTTTGTATTTTTGTTGTTCGGTGGTTATGATCCGTGTGCTGTCCCAGTCCATTATATGGTTTTCTCTTAAGCAATGATCTGTTACGGCTGACTTTTTTATTGTACTTTCTGCTTCTTCTTTTGCTGCTCTTGTGTGTTTACGATTTGCCTCTTTCTCGCACTCCTTTCTGTGTTCTATTGTCCGTGTATTGAGTTGGCGTCCGGTTTCTCCTATGTATGTTTTATTGCATATTTTGCAAGAAGAAGCCGGCAGCTGTCGGCGAAACCGTAGCTACAAACAGGTAAACAAAACTGTTTCTGTGTTTAAAAAAGAACGAAAGCATGGATTTACAAAGACACAGCAAGAACACACCTAAGATGTTCAAAGAGAAATACGGACAACAAGGAACGAAGGACTTCCGCCGTTTGGAACGATTACACCAGAAACGCGCACGTCTACGAAACCACCTTCGCTTCTGTTTAAGATGCCGGGACGAAAACATCACACCCACAAGCCTACAGCTGAAAACATCGATCCGGACCCAGACAGCACAAAATATAATAGAAAGAGCACAGAGAGCACTGCTCAAGGAGAGGATAAGGAACGTCATAACCAAACAGAGGCGTGTGGAGGACGAACTGGAAAGAGGACACCTGGACTTGAAAAGGAATTACAAACTTGATAAACAAATGGAGGAACTAATTAAAGGACACATGATGGAAAAACAGGAACAAGAGTTCATAAAAGTGAAAGAAAGACACATAAAGAAGTTAAACAGACTCATAAACAAGAAAAAGAGGGGAGAAATACAAGGCAACTCCACACCAAACTCATGGGTATGTAACATTTCACAATACAAACTAACAGAAGCAGAAGAGAGCATATTAAAGAAAGGTTTAAACTTTGCAGTCACACCAAAAGAAATACCATATGATGAATTTATTGTAGCAACAGAACTAGCATGTCAACAGATCACAGATGAGGGAAAGAAAGCAGAACTCAGAAATAACGTAGTTAGGATATTAAAAAACAGCCAAATTCAACACAGCAATATTACAAAAGAAGAACAATCAGCCATGACAGCTTTATCCAAAAATGAACAGATAATTATTCTACCGGCAGATAAAGGAAGAACTACAGTAGTTATGGACAGAGAAAAATATAAACAACAGATGAAACAGATGCTAGAAGACAAAAATACATATGAAATACTTAAAAAAGATCCAACAGAAAACATTAAGAAAAACATGAAAAAATTACTGAAGCCACTGCACGAAAAAGGCAAAATAACAGAAAAAATGTACAAACACTGGATTCCCACAGCAAACATAACACCAAGAATATATGGAACACCAAAAATACATAAACAAAACACCCCACTTAGACCAATAGTTGACAGCATAGGTACACCAACATACAACATGGCAAAAGATATCAGCAGAATCATCAGCCCGTTATTAGGAAATACAGACCAACACTGCAAAAATAGTATAGAATTGGCAAAAGAACTAAAGGAAATTACAATAGAAGACAACGACATACTCATCTCACATGACGTCACATCTCTGTTCACAAAAACACCAACCCAAAAAACCATAGACATAGTAGTTAACAGAATCAGACAAGACAAAACTTTACATAAAAGGACAAACCTCACAGCAGATGACATAGCACAACTGATAGGACTGGTAGCTAACTCCACTTACTTCACATACGACAACACAATATACAAACAACTGGAAGGCTTCGCCATGGGTAACCCGTTATCAGCCACCCTGTGCGAGTTTTTCATGGAAGACCTGGAACAAAAAGCCATAGCCACCGCCCCCCCAAACTGCAAAATAAAACTATGGAAACGCTACGTAGACGACATACTGGAAATCATACCAAAAGGTCAAACAGAAACACTAACACAACACTTAAACAATATTGAAGACACGGGCAGCATAAAATTCACTTATGAGTTAGAAACAGAAGGCAGTATAGCATTTATGGACATGAAAATCACCAGGCAGACCGACGGGACCCTAAACATAAACACATACAGGAAACCAACACACACAGACCAATATTTATTATGGACATCAGAACACCCCACCATACACAAAATGTCAGTAATCAGAACATTATATCACCGAGCAAACATAATAACAGAAGAGAGAGACTGTAAACAAGAGGACAAACACATACAACACGCTTTAAAGACCTGCAGATACCCGACATGGGCAATAAACAAAGGAAAACAACAAACAACAACAGAAAGCAAAGAACAACCCAACAAAAGAACCAGAAACCCAGAAAGACAAGAACCAAAACCAGTGATAACCCTACCATACATCAGAGGCATAACGGAAAAAATAAGAGCAACAATGAAAAAACACAACATAAACACACCAACAAAGCCATACACAACAGTTAGAAACAGATTAGTACACCCAAAAGACAAAATATCAGCTGGACAAAAATGTGGAGTCATCTACGAAATCCCATGCAAAATATGCAATAAAACATACATAGGAGAAACCGGACGCCAACTCAATACACGGACAATAGAACACAGAAAGGAGTGCGAGAAAGAGGCAAATCGTAAACACACAAGAGCAGCAAAAGAAGAAGCAGAAAGTACAATAAAAAAGTCAGCCGTAACAGATCATTGCTTAAGAGAAAACCATATAATGGACTGGGACAGCACACGGATCATAACCACAGAACAACAAAAATACAAAAGATGGATCAAGGAAGCAATAGAGATAAGGAGACGTGGATGTGGGACCATGAACAGGGACGACGGAGTTTACACGCTGGACCACGCATGGGACTGCATCGTCGGAGAGGGGAGAGCGGGCAGTAGAGGGCGACAACGTCCTCTGCTGCCCGCAGATAAACGGAGAAGGAAGTGACGCGCCACCATCAGCGTCAGCCTGAAGAAGCCGGCAGCTGTCGGCGAAACCGTAGCTACAAAACAGGTAAACAAAACTGTTTCTGTGTTTAAAAAAGAACGAAAGCATGGATTTACAAAGACACAGCAAGAACACACCTAAGATGTGCTGAGTAGCTGTCCGATGCTGCCGTTTGGGTTAAACCTGACTCACCTGTGTCCAGGTCTTCTGCTCAGTTCTGGTGAAGATTAACCTTTTTATTTGAAAGAGGAAAAGAAAATCAACTCAGTGTTTTCTCCAAAAAGTGTTCAGCATAAATATATAGTAGCTGAAAAAACCCGCGATACCAACCGTTCTCTGCTCCTGAAGAGCGGCAGCTCTGTGCTGAGTCGTGTGATCGAATCCTCTGTAATCCTGTGAAATCACGCGTTTAGATTTTGTGCCTGTCGTTAAAAACTTTTCTCACCTTCCGCGATGTGTCTGCCTCCTCAACAGCAAGAGAAACTGGGCGATATCTGCTTCTCTCTGCGATACGTTCCCACTGCTGGCAAGCTGACCGTGGTCGTCCTCGAGGCCAAAAACCTGAAGAAAATGGACGTGGGTGGCTTGTCAGGTGAGTTGAAACGGTGTTGATGCATACCCTCTGACTTTCCGTCTGACGGGTCTTTGTAATTACACACGAGCTGCAGCATTTTCTTTCCTCCTCCTACAATGGTGCTTTCAATGTGATTAATTGATAATTTCCTTCAAAATATGCATCATGTTGAGCAGAATTATGAGTAAAAGACACGTTTAGCTTGCAATGATTGCACTGAGAAAAGAGTGAGAAGTACCAGTCATAATATGTGACCAAGGAGAGCTTCTGTTACATGCTTTTGTCTTGGTGCTAAAAAATCCACTTTCACCAGAATAACAAGTTGATAAATGAGCTTTTTACTAAAGTTTTGTTATAAATAGATGGATATTTTATTTACTATGAACACATTAAAATGTATGCATGTGGATTTGTCCAGAGGATCACAGTCTAGGGAGTAGGGATGGGTACCTTTGACATTTGAATGGATTCGGTACCAATTCCCGGTTCCTAGGAATCGATACCGGTAGTTAACGGTACCAATTTTCGATACTTTTGAGTGTTTAATATTTTAATTCTCTTTTATAATTAAATACATATTTTCTCAATATATAACCATATTTGATAAATATCACGATAAATAACATACAACTGTTTGTATTTTAACATCGTCCTTGTAGTTTTATAAGCTGATAATTAAACTGAAGTAAACATCTTTACTGTGAACTAAATTTACTGTGTCTTCATTCCTTTTGCCGTCTTTTTTCATTTGATTTTTCCTACTGGGAAGTTAGAATTTCCGAGGAGAAAGCGAACGCACCATTAGCTGAGAACAATGGTGGCAATGGAAGCTAACATATCAAGCTAACGTTATCTTAAACAGTTTATTTAGCTGCTGGAGCAGATTAAAACGATGATGCCTCACACTTAGATCGTTGTCGCTGGTTTCATCTTCACCAAATCACCCGTCGCATTTAGTTAAGTGAAGCCAAACTTTAGAGCGCGTTCATGTTCTTCTAGTCGGAAATTCGGAGTTCCGAGGAGAAAGCGAACGCACCATTAGCGAAACGGAAGCTAACATATCAAGCTAACGTTATCTTAAACATTTTATTCACCTACCGGAGCAGATTAAGATGAGGATGTCTCACTTAGATCGTTGTCGCTGGTTTCATCATCACCCAGTTACCCATCACATTTAGTGACGTGGACCCAAGCTTTAGCGTGCGTTCTTTCTACCATGCTGCTCTGTTTACAACTCGCTCGCAGCAACCGACGACATAACGCTCTTGCGCAGCTGTCTAGGCAAGTTCTCGTTATGAAGGACGGGTACCGAAACGAGGCACCGTTTCAAATGACGTGAATCGGTGCTCGGTCGGTACTGTGGAATTCGGTCGGTACCTTAAAAAGTACCGAATTCGGTACCCATCGCTACTACGGAGACAGTTCAGCTTCACAGATCCTACAGACAGCTGTCTTTATGTCACCAGACTATTTATAAACACTGTTTGACACAACGTTGAATATGAGCTGCACAAGACCAGGTAGCTGCTAGTTGGTACCTGTTTTGATGTGGTTTGAGCGTGCAGAGCTGGGGCGAAAATGCCACATTGGTCAGACTGGGTGTCACCGGTTAGTGAAGGGAAGTAGTCACTGGTTGAGTGGTTCACCTTGCAGCCCCCAGCCGTTTCTTCATCTTTTCAGAGTCTGACTAAAGAAACGGGGACTGAGCAGAATGTTCGACATCACCACCTTGTCCTCTACTGGTGCGTTGTTTTGTTTGCGTCACATCCAGACAGGGCTGGACTGGGACAAAAATTCAGCCCGGGCATTTTGACTGGAGACCGGCCCATCACCTGTTTTTTTTGGAAAAGACATTAAGCCTTATGCTGTTTCTGACACACACCAACGTACACTTTCTTATTGGTAGTATTTATGTATCAATCTAATAAACGTAAACCTACACCATCTTTCCTATCCTGGTATTCTAAAAAGTAGGGTTGGGGGTAACTGATTATTTTTAAAATGATTATTCTGACGATTATTTTATCGAATAGTCGACTATTCTAATGACTATTTAGATGATTAATCTAGCGATTACTTTTCTATTGCACAATTAATAAAAACCAAAAAATTCTCAAATAAATTCCTCCAAAAAATTGATAAGTTGTTACTGTAAGAGAATAAACACTACAGGCCTTCCATTTTGTATAACACTGCTTTTATTGTGTTGCGGTTGTTTATGTTCTGGTGACGTGTAGAACTTGGGAGTGCAGGCTGCTGCCTGAGAGGTGGTTGGAGACGGAGTGTCTCCATGCTGCTTTGTTTTGGTCACTTATGTGCCTGAGGCAAGTGGTGTTACGACCCTTCCTGGGGAGTCACGTGTTTCTCCTATTTTAACTGTAAATCCTTCATGCTGTTATATTTATAACAAGAAACAGATATTCGGACAGAATATTTTCACGTTTATTCGAATATGATTGTGGAACACACCCAGCATCATAATAAATGAAGTAATATTTATGCCAATTTAAGCCTTTATGGGTGACCAGGACTCTGTGTTTATGAATGTGGAAGACACCCAGCATCCTGTGATGGCACTAATAACATCAAGAGATAATAAATAAGGTAATATTTAGGTCAATTTAACCCTTTACACGTGACCAGGACACTGTAATCAATTTTTGGCAAGGGAAATGATCATTTGTTGCCATTTTTGAGGTGTTTATGAATGTGAAAGACACCCAGCATCCTGTGATGGCACTAATAACATCAAGAGATAATAAATAAAGTAATATTTAGGTAAATGTAACCCTTTACAGGTGACCAGGACACTGTAATCAATTTTTGGCAAGGGAAATTATCTTCTTTTTTTTTTTTTCTTTTTTTTTTTTTTGCCATTTTTGTGGTGTTTTTGATGACACAGTAGGCAGTATGAGTACAGTAACGTCAACAGATAATACATAAAACCCTTATTTGGTCAATTTTAGCCTCCATGAAAATCTTAGCAATTCAATCACTTTTTGGCAAGTAAAATGCCATTTTATTTGTCTACAATTAAATCATCAATAAAGAATTTAAAGATATTTTGAGGCATTTCTTATAGGTAAATGGGAGGGTGTAGTCTATTTGGCAAGTGACAATCTTAATTTTATGTGCTGAAGTGCTTTTATCTTGTTACTTTTAAATAGAGCAACGTAATGAATAGCAACCTACACAGTGTCATTGTAAAGCCAAAGCTTGATCATTTTAAATACTTTTTTTCAAGTAAAAATGTGCCCCAAACTAGTTAACTGTGGCTCCATGTCAAGTGGACTAAAGAAAGGAAGGGGAAAAAATTAAATCGCTGGAGAATTGTTTATTTCCATTTATACAACGTTTACATTCAATACAGGGTGCCATTTTACATTGTTTATTTATTTTTTTAGTATCAAGGCTGTAACATAAAGAAAGCCAGTTCTTACCACAAAGTTTGTGGCACAAACCATCTTTCAATCGCAAATATTGCAAAAAGGATTAATATATCCTCATTGTGAACGTTTAAGACAAATAGCAACACTTAAAACAACTTCCGAACTGGAAAAACTAATGTGGCAAGGTGCAGAAACGAGTGCCCAGGCGGGATTCGATCCCCAGACTCCCGGGTGAGAGTCATACGCTCTAACCAGTCAGCCAAAGGGACATCTCCTTGGACAAGTAGCCAGGGCGCACAATCTATCGGGACATTGTGGATGCTCACCACACTGCTACATCTTCCTCCCTCTTTCCACAAGCACGTCCTCGTGTTCCCGCGCAGGGTGCCACAAACACTGCCACACTAATATCCGCGATAAACATCTGTTTAAGTACCGGAAGAGGTTATCTTTGCTTTCTGAATGTCCATATTGCTAGATATGCTGAGTTTTAGGGCGAAATCCTGGGGAATTTTGTCTAGAAATGCAATTGCCTAACCGTGCGCGATCCCGCGGTGGCTAATCATTTTTTGGCAGCGAGTCAATTTATGGCACAACACCGGCTCGGGTTTCTCCTCCTCCTCCCTCTTTTCTTCTCCAACCTGTCGCTGGGCTGAGGCTCCATCACTTCCTAAATTGATTTTACTTGAACCTTCACTACCAAACAACTGTGAGATTTTAACACATGTGCCAGCATCAGCCTGAAGGGCCAGTTTCTTTTTTAGTCGAATTTTCTCCGCTCCTCCTTTCCGTTTTTTGTTCTCCATTTTGTTAAGCTCGTCTGTCTGTTTACTGAGATTCACAAACAACTGGCGGGTGCATCAGACCTCTGGCTATTGGTCCAGCCCAGAGTGTATTATTACCAATTGGCCAATCCACCAACTTTTACGAGGCGTCGCGTGGGCAAGTTGTCCGCAACAACTAGAGGCCAGGAGAAAAAAAAAAAACAGACACCGGCCCATAAAAGATGAAAGGGTCGGCCCAGCGGGCAGTTGCCCGCTATGCCCTATGGTCAGTCCAGCACTGCATCCAGAAGATAAATGGCCTGCACCTGTATCACAAGTCAGAGGACTCCAAAGCACCTTACTCTGCAGTCATCCTCCCATCAGGCCCTGGTGGTGATGAGCTGCACTGTAGCCACAGCCCTCCTGGGGCACACCGACAGAGGCGAGGCTGCCAAGCACAGGTGCCACCGGGCCCTCCGACTCCCACCAGCAAGCAAGGAGGGTGAAGTGGAAAGCAGCTGGACTTAAACCAGCAACTCACTGGTTACAGGGTGAACTCCTAACCCCTGAGCCAATGCTGCATTCCTACAGGGAGACCAGCCTGTCAAACAAACTCCATTTGGACCCGAGTATAGGGTATCATTTTGTATATTAGATCACCTCGCGCTACTATTCGAACTTTCAGAGGCAACCCACACCCCCAACCACTGGAGACATTTCTCAGTTGTAACGAAAAACCGACCGAACCGTGACTTCTGAGCTACAGCTGAAATCGGGAGCATCTCAGACAGGACATCTTTGAGCCACATAAGATGGTGTCCTCATGTGCTGCAGATCTGTATCTATTTGCATTTGTCCAACATGT